AACTGAAAAATCGGAAATGTTCCTAATGCCGTCTGGGAGAGCGTTCCAGTCATCTACTGCATGACAAACAAACCGATGCTGACCCCATGTACGCTTTGATTGTGGTTTACAAATGTTGTTATTAAAACGAGTGTTATAATCATGCATGTCTTTAAAATGATTAAAATTAAAATTCCAATCAATTAGTCCATTCAAGGACTTAAAAACCAAAAATAGACGATGAGATCTTCGTCTTTTTTCCAATGTATCCCAACCAAGTAGATCAAGAGCTTCTGTTGCTGATGAATGCTTTGGCATATCTAAAATTAATTTAGCTGCTTTATTCTGGAGTAATTGGATCTTGTTCATCAGAGTGGTGTTGGATTTATCCCCCCAAGTCACATCAGCATAATCAAGGATTGGCAGCACCATGGCTTTTACAAAGAGTTCCCTTGTATTTCTTGGCATAAGATGTTTTATTCTCTGTAAAACGCCAAGCCTCTGAGACACTTTGGTCTTAATGTAATCCACGTGATCAGTCCAAGTCAGATTCTCATTGATAATTACGCCCAGATACTTGAACGAATTTGTATCTCCTTCTTAAGTACTGGACTGACTCCTTTCTTAGTTTATCATTCTCGTCTAATTCGATGTCAAAATAGATTACACTTTCTTTAGGAATTTGGCTGGAAGTCCATCCAGGCCATGATACCCACTTTCCTTTGTAAGTACCTTTTAGCCACTCCATAGTGAAGGAAGAGTTAGTGACTTCCTTTACCTTTGCCAAATGGGGAGGTTTGTAGTTTCCCTCAAGATTAACCGCAACAATGCAACCTGGCAGAACTCCTTCAAAGTTATCTACCTCTGTGACCACAGCTGTCTGCCTCCTATAAGCACCACTGTACACCTGAAATTGTAAACAAATTATAAATTGAGTCAATTGTGAAAGCCTTAATTGATAGGCATTTTAGTGTGTGTGTGTGTGGTCACCTAAAGGAAAATTCAGCTGTGGCTGATACTGCATCTGAATAAAACACATGATGGAAAGGTTTGGTGGGCATGCACGTACACCAAAAGGCTTTGGCCAAATTAAAATAGCTATAAGTTTGCATGAGTAGGAGGCTTAATTGAGTTGAACATACATTGTATGTCTTAATTTTGAGCATAAATCACCTCTTGCACAGGAGCAACTTGAGTTCTGACCATATCATCCACATCCTCAGGGACACCTTCAGGTTTTTGCCCCAAAAAACCCACACTACTCCCAGCAGCCTCCAATTGTTTTTGTCTTTCTTTAACTCTTTCCTTGTTTGCAATGATTTCTTTCAATGGCCAAGTAACTGTCCTTTCTGGCAGATGCCATCTGGTATTTTCAGGGTCAAGTAGTGATGCCCAATCTTCTTTATGTTGTTCCAGAAACAATCTTGATCTTAAAAATTTTTCAATGTCTGATCTGAGCCGTTGAAGCTCAAGCTTCTCTGTATCTGGAGCAACATAATCTGGTGGGACATCTACACTTATTTCTGCATCAGCCTGACATAAATAATAAAAATTCAATCATTAAAAAAACTGTAGCAAAAACACTTATTCTGGAAATTTCACATTTGAAGGACATGAATTAGACTGGAGAATGAAACCAGACCTCAACAATAAATAAGCTTCTAATTAGTAACTTACAATAACACCATCAAGCTGTAACAGAGCTCAGTTTGCGATTTTTCTAATAGTACTTGTCATTGTTACTAATATTATTATTATTATTATTACTATTATTATTATTGGTCTAGCATAATGCTAAGAATTAAAATGTAAGATCATCATACTCCAGCTGAGCAAAACAGGTAATATCTTCAGTGCATAAACAGAGTATAATTATCAGTCGAAAGTATTGTTGGGATTTTTTTTTATTTATTCCGGCTCCATTGTACAGCAGAGATTTCCACACACTTTCACTATAGTTAACCACTGTTCTGGATCAGGGTCTAGTGGTTTCCAGTTTTCCTTTTTGTCACTCCCCCAGTTCTTGTACTGCATAACGACTTTTCCTGAAGGAGCTTTTGTAAATTTAAAAGCATGAGGATTTGAGATGTTGTGGAGCACAGTTGAAAAGGGCGGCATCCACTCTTCACAGCAAAAACATGTTCAGCCTCTACAGCCTTTGGTGTTGGGGTGTAACAACTCTAAAAGGAGGTCATAAGCTCTACCAATTAACCTGAGAAAACATTTTAAGATATTGTATCCATCCATATTGTCAGGAGAGGATAAACATCAATCAATTGAAGGCTTAAAATATAATTGTATAAACATGGCCATGACTCAATAATTATACCAATCTACTCTTCTGCAGATATGTTGATTCTTTTCATTTTGTTTGTTAATTGGATAACACCAGCGTACATATCAGGTATACATGTCAAATATGGCAGGTGGTCAAATTTTAAAGGATAAATTCCTAACAGTCATTTTTCAAGCTAAAAGTTCCCTGATTGCATTCCTCCTAACTGTACTTTTAAAGGTTCTTGTGTCCTTCTTTACCAGAAATTCAGAAAGCCTGTAAGACACAATTTAATATGACTATCAATTAACAACAACATATGCGCAAAATTAGAATTTTGAAGCTGGCAATTATAAGTATCATCCCAGCAGTGAAACTTTGACTAAGTATTCGGCAGCATTAACAAGATGGTTCTGCAATGTAACTATTCTCAAAGATAGTTTCCCTCTCAACTTAATTCAATGAAAATGAAATTCTCAGATTCTTACTTGTTAAACATCTGGTCAACAGCTTCATGAGTGTGACCAACCATTAAGAAATTTAGTTTTACCTGTAAAGACAAAAATTGGATTTGAGGGAATTTTTGTTCATGATCACTGCCATCCCCACCCCATAGTGNAAATAAGGCACAACTCGTAAAAATACTCAGCGACACTACACAACAAAACGTGTAATTAACAATTATTCCACAAGCGCGCGTTGGATATGAGATGATAGATAGCCAACTGCAAGGTAGCTGGACAACTGAACCAATGCTTACTCGCAAATCCAGTGAAAGCAAGCTGTTTTCAATGATCTTGCACCCAACTTTATCCTTATCTTACCCCGTTATCATTTTATGAAGAAATATTCTATGGCTATATGTATGTTCTCGGTGAAGGTTACACATTTATGATCCATTCACTGACAGAGTTAAAAGAAGCTGTCTGCTATTTTGCACTACTGTACAGTAGACAGAATGCTGCAACGTATACAACACAGTATTTCATAGCTGCGAATGCTGAGCCTGGAATTTGAAGTCAACTTGGAAAAAGTAGTCGGATTAAGGGCTTAGGAATAAATGTATCTTATTAGACATATTGGAGTTTAGTATTGCTGAATATTTATTGGATGTGCAGTCTTTAAATGACCTTCACGTACATGAAAATTTTTAGAATTTTATATTAAATTTACCTTGTTATACTTTGCATGAATATGATTTTTTTTTATAGATGAACTGGGAGAAGAGGATTTTTAGAGCATTAACAGCATGTGCATGAAGCTATCACTTCCTCTGGCAAGAAAAGTAAAGTATAAACTGCCTTGAGCTAAAATTTCGCAGTTAACATACTTACAGAGGTTTCTATGATGCAAAATGTTGTCATATCAAGTGCTAAATGAAGCATATTATAAAAGGGTCAGAAACTGTCATTAAATTGAAGTGTAATCTGTTTTCTTGCTTGAACTCTGCAGTGGGTACCATGTGATGGCCAAAGAAACACTGTTACTGGTCTAAGAGTTTGTGATGTTGCCCTTCACTACAATATAACAGGGCTCAACTCTAACTTTCCAACTTACTAGCCAAGTAGCTAGTGACAACTTAGATGTTACAACAATTTCAGTTTGTTTACTAGCCGAACTTGTTAGTGGGAATCAAAAATCACCAGCCAAATCTGAATTTCTACTAGTCTGTGGCTAGTTCACCACTGTTAGTGTCGAGCCCTGTATAATGATCAAGATAAAAGATGTTAGTAGTATATCAGATACAGTGGAGAGTCTTTTGTGAACCCTGATTGCCTGACTTTTTGCTTCAAAATACATGTAGGCATTAAAAGAATTTTTTTTCCTTCAGAGGTCAGCAGCAGACTAGAGTGTCATTTCATCAAAGTTTGAAGTTTTAGGTGGTGAACTGGATGAAAAACGTAAGTTGATTGAGAAGGCCTCAGTGGGCTCATTTTTTGCATCGGTAATGTTTGTTGTAGGAAGTAATCACCAGAATTAAAGATTTAGATGCTCTATATTGTAATCCAACTTTAATGCAGAGTAATGTCAAACATGCTTTGTGACTCTGCATGTGGCTATTTTAAGTTGATACCTTTTTTCTTTTTTTTTCCAGAGAAATGGAAAAGATCAAACCAGTCTATGCTCCGAAGGACTTTTTTGAGGTGAGGTCATGGGTGAATAAGGATGAGGTATATCCAGGCAGAAATCTTATTAAGATATTATTAAGATTCTTAATAGCTTCCTCCTTGGATTCTTACAGAGATTCTTTGTCTAGAACCTTACAATAATAATAATAAATAATAATAACTTGTATTTATATAGCGCTCATATCTTAAATTCATGGTGCTTTACAACACTGTATGGGGGACTTTACCAGACTGCTGAGCAGTTTACAATCAAATAAAGGCGAATAACAGACTCGAATTGGAGTGCTCAGCTATAGACATTATGCTGTACCATTATTATTTAGTTTTTACTTTATTTTTACTTTTATTTTTACTTTTTAATATATTTTCATCTTACCATACTAATTACTAATTACTAATTCATGAAGTTTATCTACTTTTAGCATACAATTTTTAAGTCCATTATATACTATAGCATGCTACTTTTAGTCTATTCAATCCTGTGGCCATTAACCTCTTTCTCCCATATCCCCCTACTCGTCTTGTTTCATTCACCATTACAAATGTATATCTCTCCATTACTATTATTATTTTTCTACTCTTCCCACTTAATATCTTCATTCTAAATATTTATAACCACAAACCCTAATGATGATTTACAGTAATCATGAGAACGAAATCAAGTGCCACCAGGAAAATCAAAAAGAGGAAAAGAGACGAAGATGTACATACCAATCTCTCCATTGATGTGTCAAAGAAAGCTGCTCCAGGGAATACAACCTCGGGGACTGCATCTCCATCGACCTCTCTTCCCTCAAATACACCTAAAACAGAGACAACCAACAAAAAGAAGAAAATCAAAAGGAAGAAACATTCTAAAATACAAAAAACAAGAAAAATAACCAGGCTCCTAAACTAAACCCATCTTTTTCCACTAGTACGCGTAAATGGAAATGGAAAATCATCAGATCTACATCCTTCTCACAAAAACAAAAAAAATCTCTTCTTAAAGTTCACCATGTGTCAACGATCACAGAAAGAAACAAAGCCACCATATACAACCTTCAATCCAGCCTTACTACTACAGGTCTTAAAACCAACACCGGAAACCTTACTTTCAGTACTCAAAGCAGCACTCAACTAACCCCTACCACTATCTTACAAAGCATCCAACACCTTGAAGACGAAAATAAAGCAATATTTAAAAGAATCAAACAACTAAATGAAGAATAACAGTCAAAACAACTGAAACGAATCCAGCACCTTAAGAGAATCAAACAAAACCATGGCTACTTCCTGCGCAGACGGATCCTCTCCATCACTACAAATTTAAACAATTTCCTTGATCACCTCCAGACCAGAATCTACCTATGGCCAGAAGATACAGCTCTCCTTCTAGAAAATGACTGCATAAACAGACGCAAATCACGACTATCAGCAGAAAAAGAAAAACTCTCATCCACCAACAAAATCCACAATTTTACCAACATCAACCTTTCACCTGACTTCATCAAACTTTTGAACAAAGGAACTAATTTTATACCCACAACAGATTCCACCACCATCCCTAATATCAAGAAAACAATCTCTTCAGAAGTCAACTCTGCTCTCAACAACCTCATTAACAAAGGATCCAACCCACTTAAAGCCAGGAACCAACCAGTCAGAAAGAAAACTTCCAACTTCCACCGCAGATACCGCCCTTACCCAAACAAAAATCCAGTCAAGCTACTTCAAGAAAATCAAACTAAACCTCATTTTAATGTACATATCATCGATTATGTTCACAACACTATTTCTTACTCCAAACAATATCTACAATCCACAAAATTCCAAAACCTTCTCAATCCGCCACACCTCAACATCACACAGTCACACACATCCCACGTGCACAACTTGAGCAAACACCATGACATAATCCTTACCAAGACAGACAAAAACATGGGATGGGCCCTTGTTCCTATCGCATGGTTTAAAAACGAATACACTAGACAACTTACAGACTCCACCACATACAAACGTATTGACAATTTCGACCTTACCAAGACTATAACAAACTCCAACAAATTACTACGCAAACTACAACTACGCTTTAACAAACTACTTTCAACCTCAACGAACAAGAAACTACTTAACACTATTACACAAGACAAACTTCAACTACCCTACATGAAACTTCTACCCAAAGTACATAAACTGACTGATACTTCCTCACCCTCAAAACCTTGACAAACTAACAGGACGACCTATTATAACTGCACACAGCTGGACAACTTCTAATCCATCACGTTTACTTGGTATAGAACTTGACAAAATTATTTTACGACTGAAAGACATTTTTGAAGAACGAAACATACCTTATCCATTAATTTACAACTCAACCGACCTTTTGGACTCATTTAACATATTTTATGTTGACAATATTAACAATTTTACTTTAACGACTTTTGACTTCACATCACTCTACACCAACATCTCATACTTAGACACCATCCGCGCCATCATCACCAGTTGCAAACTATTGAACCTACCAACCTTTTACAGAGACTTTTTACTTAATTTAAACAATTTTATTAACAACCGTAACTTTTCCCTTTCAGGACAGGACATTTACCAACAGATTAAAGGGGTTGCGATGGGCAGCTACCACAGCCGGCAAATCGCCGACCTGGTTTTGCTGCTCAGCGAATTAACTTTCTTTTCAGAAAACGACACCACTGGCCTCTTTATTTT